GCTCAGCTTCATAGCATGGAGATCCGTGCAATTCCCCATGACTTGTGCATAGCAGTGAGTGGGGCTGGGCTGCCAGGTTCATCATGTGGGATTCTCCCCAGACGCATGTGGTTCAGGTGGACTGCATGTAGGCTTTGTGTGATGGAGCCAGGCAGACCGTGCACCCAGGTTCCACACTCCTGCTGTCCTACCCTGGGTCCCCACTGGCCCCAGAGCACCAGTGCAGGCCTCGTGCTCCTGCCTGCCACTGCCACTACTCCCCTGCCACTACCACTTCCCCACTGCTGCTTCCTCTCTTCCCTGCTGCTTCCCTACTTTCCCTCTTGCATGCCCATCCACCATTGCTGCTGCTGTTTCCCCCCTGCCACCCCCCATCCCTCACTGCTTTCTGCTGCTCCCCGCCCCCCACCAATGGCTTTACCTTGCTGGGGGTGGGGTGGGTTCTGGCAGGCCTTCTTGCTCTGCCACTGGGTCCTTTCCCTGGCTCCTTCTGGGTCCTGCTGCTGCTGGCGCCGCATTATCTTTGACAGGCAGCCACAGGCAAATAATTATTTTTCTAAATTTTTTAGGGGACCCACCAGCCAGCTAGAATGCCCACCTCTGTGTTATAGCATATACTAGCCAAAGTACCCAGCTTTGTACGGGTTGCAGTAATCACATTTTAATGTTTTATAAATAACATATTTTCATTCTTTCTTATTTCCCTCTACTAATAAGCTGTGTATATGTGTTTAGTTTTGTATCCTATTTTACTTGTGTGATACAGCTTGACACTGTGAGCTTTTGGTCATACCAAAAACCTATAAAAGTTGAACATTTAAATGTATTAAACAACTGAATTGTGAGGTAGAATTACTTGTTTACTTTGCAAGACTTTAGCATAGCACTGGGGATTTCACATCACATTTTTCTATCCCAGTTTATGACGGGGATGTAGCACTGAGTGACTCCAAAAATCTTTCCCTTGTTGATGAGATTCATTAAGGCCTTCACTTTTTGTTGAAATACTCTTGCCAGCAAATCATGCCGATCCCGTGGTTTTGGCCTGGCATCAGTTCATTAGCCTCTTCCGCCAAAGCTGGGTTGCAGATGAAGGTAATGAAGAGATCACGGCAGCCATAGTTTCACACATATGTCTTGGCATCTTGAGTGCACTCATGCATGTAGTGAGGCCCACCTGTGAAACTGGAAGGCAAGATGACCAATTGGCCAATATTGGCAGCATCTCCATCATTGTTCATGGCATCCCTGAGGTGAACATAGTTTTCAGCTCTGAGTTTCTTTTGGTTCATTCGAATGAATCTCAATCTTTCTGCTTCAGTTTTGGCATGCATGTCCACAGCAAATTGGTGGAAGAGATCTTTGCATCGCAAGATGTGATTGAAACTTCTAGTTTGCAGTATCATCCTGTAAGCATAAAAGTCCATGGCAGAAATCTTCTTTTGAGTTGGCGGGCCTGTTGCTGGGTTTGTTTGTCGCAGTTCAAAATGGTAGCCATCATCACCCTGCCAGAAAATTAGTAGATACTGAAGTGCATCATATGATCGGTGTGTCCCAGCAATTCTCTGGAGGGAGTTGTTCCTGAGTTGCAACACAATGTCTCAATGGCCATGTTGTTCACCAGCCAGAATGACAACCACTTCTGATGTTGTGGGTGCATTGAAGTACTACTCCAGCTCACCAGCTGGAGTTTTGTCTGCATGAATGACAACATGATACTATGGAGTCATCTTCTCCATGGCACACTTGAAACTGAACAGAGTTGTTTTTCTTGTGAAGCAAGTCGTGAATTAAGCATTTTGGCTAATTCTTGGGGGACATATATTGGGTCCTAATTCTGTCTGGGTTAAAGCTGGAAGTTTTGTATGTTTGCTGGAATGTAAAGTTGTATGTAATTTGAAACATCTGTATGGCTCCCACCTCCTGCATATGCTGTAACCTGCTTGTCTTACTATTTAAAAATATATATACAGACAAATTTGGATAGTTATAGGCAAAAGAAGAAAAAATAATGCGTTTTTAATAGAGCATTATAGATATAAACTATATACGCTAGACAACACTTAGAAGTACTATGGTCATTACATTTAGCTCTGAATGTCAACCTCATTTTGGTGGGTTTTTTTCCCCTTTCTCTGTCTTTAAAGTGCTCCCCACAAAGAGATTATGTGATTTTGGCTGTTAGAACACCTCCAAAAGAAGAGCAAAATGAAAGCTACTGTCCTGCAAAATTGGCTGATATTGATGAAGAATGGGTGACAACACATGCTAGTCAGGTAGCACAATTTCATAATTTTAAAAAAGTATGAAAGGAAATAGTCTTTTTCTTTTTTCATAATTTTATACCCTATTTCTTTGTATGAACACAGTTTCTTATGAACTGCCAACTGTAGATGTCAATCAAAAATTCAAATAGTTTTGAATAAAATTAAAATACATTTCCAGTTGTTTCTTTGAAGCCATATAGCTTATGGATTTTCAGCCCAGAAATTTGCCTGAAATAAAATAAAGTGGGAGAACAGTGTATGGGAAGTTTAATAACTAAACTAGCTTCATTCTTGCAGTTTAAGCTACACTCATGTTTGGATATTTGTTTCTATTCCCTGCCTTCCACTGCCCCCCCACCAAGAACAGACTTAGCATAATAAATCATAGGTATAGTTCTTTAAGTTCATAAAAGTGTGATGATAATACTTAATCTTGCATTTCTATTTATTTTGTAAGGTGTCTAGAATGCTCCCAGGAGGATTGTTAGTTCTTGGGGTATTTATTATTGCAACTCCAGAGCTGGCAAAGGACACCCAAAACGCTTTGCGCAAGGTAAGCGGCTAGATAGTGTCACCAAGAAAGGGCTATGTGGGGGAAGGAGTGTTGGTATTTTATATATATAGCTGTTATGCAACAGAATAGCTTTGTCTTGGTCCTGAATACATTTAATATGCTCTTACAAACAGAAAACAAACATAGCCCCTATTTAAAGCAAAAACAGGAATCTTATGCCCTTAGTTCTAGTTTATCAATCATGAATGCGTGTAAATTGAAACTAATGTCTATTCATTAAGTATGGCAATTTGTATTTGTTTTTATACTTGGGGATTATATTACATTATTATTTATCATTAGAATATATTAATCTTTACAGGTGAGGTGTTCATTAGAGGTGACTAGCTATTCTAGTCTGAAGCCACTCTGCCTTACCGTCTGTCCGACACCTTAGGGCACTTTTACACATGCCCTGGGGGTTAGGGATGGTACTTTGAGAGCCACTCTAATTAAAGCACTGCAGCATCTCATGTCAGCATCCCTGTACTTCAAAATGGTGGCGGGGGTGCTTGAACTAAAGCTTGTTCAATGAGCTTAAGTTAAAACACCATTTTGAAGCTCAGGGGTGCTGATGCACGAGACATGGGAGGTTGCTGGAGTGTGGTAATTACCATGCTCCAGCAGACTCAGTCTGCTCTGACATGCTGTAACTACAGCGCATTGGAGCAGCTTCTACACTGTGTACAGGCAGCCTTAGAAAGTTTGGAGAGGCATGTACTTTCATAGACAACAGCCTACCTTGTCAGCTGCTATGATAGTTCTCTAAGGTGCCAGTCTGCCGTACCTTCTGCATGAAGTGCTTTAGTGATCATATGAGGGAGTTTATGTATTGTGTTACAGCGTCATTATTTTTATAGATGGATTGAACTGTCTTCCATTGGTTGAGAGAGAGACATTATTACAATTGATCACTGGTAAGGATTAACTCTGCCTCTATAGGTTAAAATCCAGATTTCAGCTTTAGGTTGTACTTTCAGCACAGAGTAGCTCATGAATTAAAATTTGTAGCTAGATATATGGGTACAGATTATGTGCATTTTTCTTTTATGTAACATTATAAGCAAAAAGTTAACATTCTTGAAAACAAAATCAAATGCTTAGAAGTTAGAAAGGTCAAAACTAGTTGTCTCTGCAGTCTGAATTGAGCTTTGTGCCTGTGCCTTAATGGTTACAGTACCTCTGAATACCGTCTCCTTCCCTTTCCTCCCTTCCCCCATGGGACTCCTGTGTCATTCAGTGCTCTAGAAGGACCTGTTCTGGAGACAAGTTGAGGTTGCCTGGTCAAGGAGCTTGTGGACATGATTTCTGTTTTATTTGTTGCACAGATTAGAAGTGAATGAGGCAGGGTTATGAAGGAAGAAAAAACATGGTCTCATGGCTAAGGCAGTTGAATGCTGCTCTATAGAGCTGGATTCTACCTCTGCACCTGTCCCAGAATTTCTGTTATTCTAGGTAAGCCATTTAAAATTCTGCACAACAAATTTTGAAACTAAACAGTTTCTCTTTCTGGTGGACAGATCTGAGGCCTTCTGTAGAAATGTTCAGCGTTCAAAACTGCAACTGAAATCTACTCCTGAAAATTTAGGCACCCAAAATTAGTTGATGTGTCCCTTTAATATCTCTGTCCCTTGATTCTCTATCCATGCAATGGAAAATACAGAAAAGCTCCCAAGGAAAATACAAATTGATTCTTCGGCTCTGGATTTGAACAGTATGCTGCTGTTGTACAGGCAGTCCTCAGACTTGCGACATAATTGGTTCCTGAAAACTACATCTTAAGTCGAAACATAACTCTGAACTGGTTTTCCCATAAGAAACAATGTTATAATGGGGGATTGGTTCCTGAACCGAGGCCCGATACCCTATTTTCACCAAAAATAGCCAGGAATTTTGTACTCAATCAATTATAGATGAGTCATATAGCTACATTAATATATTTACATAGTAAATAGAAATTATATTGATTTGGAAGGACTTCTTTGAGGTGACTTTGCTGGACTTTTTGAAGGGTTCTTACCTGGAGTCTTCTCAGGAGTCTTGGCTGCAGGTTTTTCTGGAGTCTTGTCTGCTTTCTTAAAGGAAGTGTCCAAGGAAGTTTGGACAGATGTTCTCCAGGGAGATGGGTGGTGCAGTGAACTTGTTTGCTGACGTCATGTGGTGTTGGAGCAATCATTGTAAAGTCAAAACTGATGTCAGAAAGTTGAAATAGGGTGTCAATTTATAAATGCTGTAAGTATGAAATGTTGTAACTCAAAATGTTGTAAGTTGAGGACTTCCTGTATTTAAAAAAAAAAAGAAGCATATTGTCATACTTTGGAAAATGAGAAGAAAAAATATTGAATAATTTTAAGTTAGCACTATCTATTTTTTGCTCTGAGGGGATGTCTACATTGCAGCAGCAGTTTGCCTTGGCTAGGACATTCATGAGCATGCCCCACTCACCCATGGTCTAAACCCAGATTTAAGCCAGTAAGGCTGTTCCAGAGGCAACTGTAGCTGAACTCATGGGTCATCAGCATGGTTGGGATGTTCAGAATCACCACAGACCTCTGTCTCTTGAATTAACACTGTAAATGATAGCAGTGGTCGGGGGAGAAAATGCAGTGGGTTTCATAGAGATATAGTGACAGCCCAGGAATGGTGAAACTCAGTGATTGGGGGCACAATTTTTTTCTGATTGCCCCTGCTGGGCCTTCCCCCATCATAACTGACTGCTCTCCTCCTTCCCTTTTGCATGTTTCTTCTAAATTCAATCATGTAATGTTTTCTTGACTGTAAGCTGAGTCTTGAGATCCTTTGGTTCCCTGCCTTCTTGTCCAAAGAGTCCCCTCCTCAGCTCTTGGCTTTCAGTGCTGACTCAACGTAGCTGTCTGGCCCATTCTCCTCTTTTTTTCAAGAGAGTCTTGTTTCTTCTACGTTTGAATTGGACAGCTTCCTCTGTCATTGATTTACAAAGGGTGTGCTGCAGCATATTAGTGTGCCACAAGAGCAGTAGAAGTATGCTGAGAAAAATTATACAGGTCTGGAAATATGGCAGGGAGAGGAGCGGTGGCAATTAACACTGCTACCATTCCCCTGCTGTCACACTTCTAGGGCCTGTGCAATGGGAATAGATCCATGGACCAGACCCATCCAGCCCACAGTGACCTGGCACTGCTCATCCATCCTGCAGGGCCAAAAACCTGCATAAGGCTTGTGTACCTTACACTGCGCATATACACATGTACACGTCCTCTTTTCAAATGTAAAAACGAAGTGGGCTGGTCGCCAGTTCTAATCCAGAAAAAAAGTGTGCCCAAAAGTATGGGAAATGCTGCTCTGTTCCTTGCAGGCCAGCAGAGGCTTTACTGAGAACACAGGAGAAACTGGATCTCTTGGGAACCTGGAAGACATGACATTTAAGGCAAGATTAATCCATTAATTGTGTCTTAAAAAGTAACTGGCCATACATTTAGGCAGCTAATTATGCTGCAAAACAAAGAAACAAAATTATTCCACAAAATACATGTAGCAATCTTGTGGCTGGTTTCCTTTGCTTCTTAAGTTGAACGTGTGGCAGGGTCCTTACCATGTAGCATGATTCCAGTTGCGTGGTAGAGCTTGGTTGATTGCTTCCTGCATATCATCAGGCTGACATCTATGTGGTACACCTCATTGTTTTCAGAGTGCTGAGTCAGGGAAGCTCAACTGGACAAGAGGTCCTGGGATGTGGAAGCCACAGAGCTCCCCATGACTTGGCAAGTTGATTGCCTTGCCCTGTAGCTCCCAGGGAGTTGCAGAACAAGGCATTTGACGCACCCTGGCCATGAGGACCCTGGAATGGGGAGAGGTTCTCTGATCCCAGGGACCCTGTGCACTGGAATCTTTAAAAACCATGATTTCAGCCCAGCTGCATATACAGTTTTCAGATATCTGTGGTGAATTTATGAACCTTTCCTGGACCTTAGAACCCATGCAAGGACTCACCAAGGTTTTCTGATATCCCAGTGCATGGGCTCTGGCAGCCTTTTGGAATGCAGTTTCTGGGCTGAGACAGACAAGCGGCTTGGACAACACTTGAGTCTCCAGCTGGCTCTGGTGGGATCCTGGGGCTGAGACAGATTAATCAGCTGATTGGCAGTCCTAGTCCTGGGACCACACTGCTTCACTGGGCACTTTGGTTTCAACCTGGATTCTCCCTGCACTGGCCAATAGTAGTGGTACAATTTGGTTTGGATTTCCTGCTCCCCCATCCAAAAAATGTGCATCCTGCCATGCATATGTTGCATAGCAGGAGGTGTGATTGTTGAGGTCAGGAAACAGATCCCATCACACCATTAAATGAAGTGTCAGGAGCCTTGCTTTCAGTTGCAGTACCTTGTGCTGAAGCAGCCTATAGGAGCAGCTTAGCATTGCAAATGAATGGAAAGTCCTGCTCAGCTTTAAGCCTGACAGTTTTAAGATGTGAAGACACTGAGCATGTGCAAACTGTAGTTTACTCTCCCATTCCAAGAACTTAATATTGACCAGATTTGTTCATATTTTTCACAGTGATTTCAAAAGGTACTGAGACATAAGGGAATCTTCTGTCATGGTTCAGGTCTGTGCTTCAAAGTATGTTGCACTAGAGTGTATTAGAGAAAAATTGCTAGAAAACTGACATGAACAAATTAGCATATTTTTCTCTAATATCATTCTTGGAAATAGCAGAACTGTGTTGCTTGAAAGATTTTAAAAATCAAACATTCAGAGGTAATTTCATCCCAAATGGTTAGTTTGACAAAGTCATGAGCAAGTAAAAAGAGAATTGGGTAAGAGGAGTATTAGATTACTTGCTGGCACTGCCAACCCCATCTGTAATAACCAATGTGTCACTGGAAGCAGCATCCTTATTGCTCCATATTAGGACATCTTTGTAGATAACTTCTGCAGACAAGTGCCCAGGGACAGTGTTAATATAACATCAGTCCTTTCATCTCTGCCGCAATTGCATAATTTTTTGTAAGGTAACTTACAAATATACCAAATACATTCCTAATCGTAGATGTAGAAGGACTTGTAAGTAATAGCTATGTTTTCTGCTGTGATCTTGAAAAAGTGATATGGCAAGAGATGCTATAAGGCTGCCTGCACAATGTTAAGGAGACCATGCTGTATGGAGAGACTTGAATGAGGGAGGTGAAGAGAGTGAAGCAGAATCAAACAAATCCATAAAGGATTTTGAAAGCAGCAAGACTGTCAGCAAATGAATGTGAATCAACAGGATTTTAAAGACAGACGACCTGAGTTATGCTCATTTACATTATACCTTGGTAGCTTTTGGTACAGGCTGAAATCTGTATCTGAAGCATTTTTCACCTCATACTTGGCATTTGAATCTTTTGTGAGTGATATGTCTCTGAAGTTGTGATTGTCTGGGATGATTTTAAAATCACCAATCAGACTTGTCAAATGTCAGCTTGTATTGCTAAGACCCTGAACAATAAATGTTGTACGTTGGTGCAACTCATCGGTTGCACATAGTGAAAAAGATACATAGTTTCATAGTTTCTAGGGTCGGA